ATTCCGCAGATTTACCCCTGAAAATGAATCAGAGAAAAAGTCTATAGATTATGTCTAGACTTAGCGATTTATATTCAGAAGGACACTCTTATAAAAGAGATATGTAGGAAATGTAATATAGGACTTACAAATATGTACAACTCACTTATGTCATATCACAGTCGGCTACAGTTATTAGACTTAAATAAAAGTTTTTATTTGGCATACTCTTTATTTTTCAAAAGAAAACAGTGAAAATCCATTTGCATTAGAACAGAATAAATCAAGGAAACAGAATAAATCGAATAAAAACTTCACAGAAAGATTTCTCACATTATAAACATTTAAGAAAAACTGTTGCTGGAATTTGTAGGCACTTCCTCTGTTAAACACTGCTATGGCCATTCGTGTGTGTGTGTGTGTGTGTGTGTGTGTGTGTGTGCTTAGATCATACCGGTGCTATTTAATACTTTAGAAGCATGTGTAATGTGAAGATGTAAAAGTCCAGTCATATATGCGTACTTTCACTCTATGGTTCCAGCATTTTCATATGAGAAAAACATTACATAAATGTGTTATAGGCCTAGATACAAAAATAGTGAATGTCCCCTAATTGAGACACTGCATAAACACAATTATTTTCAAATATTAAATAACAATCAGATAAGAAGTGCACTTGGTGTTTAAATGTTCATTTGGGAGAAACTGTCTTGCTGAAATAAAGTACCTTAATGTACCAAGATCATGAATACTCAGACATCCACTCATAAACTACAAACAATAGCTGATTAAGCTATAACGTTGAGAAAAATAACAGTTATGATACTGAATGAGATCATCTTTCAAGCAGTATCAAAGTCTTGTTGGAACATGCCGACGAAAATAATTTAAAAGATATTTGGTCACACGTTAAAAATACACTGACCTGTCTTGGTACCAATGAAACAATTACAGACACTGTATGGCTATGTGTGTCACACACTGGCTTTAGGGCATTTAACATGAGTTCTGTGTTATTGACATCACAAAAGTGTCCACCTTTATGAACTGATGCATACTAGTACAGAACTATGTGGCACTTTCCAAAAACAGGGTCCTCTTAGGTGTTCAGTTACTGTTTTAAAGCATAAGAGCCACAGTTCCCATGTTTTTTTTTGTTCTATGAATTATTAAATAAACTATTATCTAACATGAAATTAGCCTGTCCCACCTCAAGAGGTTTTGACCTTCTCAGTATCAAACTATTTAAATCATATAACAATGTTCAATTAATTTGAGTAAACAACTGAATGCATTAGTTTAATATTAATTTGGATTACTAATTAGTATTTATGAACTACATTGAATCATTCATGTTAATCACCAAAACATTATATTTATCTGTATCCCAAAGTTTACATGCAACCCTGTTATCACATGATCTTTCCCTATTATAAAAAAGTAACATTCCTTAGAATTAAAACACAGAAGACATGAAGAAATTAAATAAGCTCAGTCCATTTTCTTCATTGATACACCAGTAGCATAGCGTTTACTGTATTTGTCAATGTCAACTATTCAACCCTATTACCAAAGTTACTTTAAGAAAAATATTTTTTTACTTCGATTTATTGGAAATTTTATTTCATTAATAACTACAACGCAACACTTGGTCTCAAACTAACTAGCTCCAGATGCCTGATAGCTTAATTTACATTTTGTGATTTATCACTTTTCACATTGACCTCTGTTGAAAATTCTCCATTCAAACCCTTTTTGGTTAAAAAAAGTGCCATTTACAATACTAGATAAAAATGAGAAAACCGTCCCAATGATCAGGAAAAACTCCAGAGATTTCTGCCAGTATTGTATTTCTCTTTCAGGTCTAATTACAGTTTTTTAAAATTGCTTAGACACTAAAAGTGGTACTTGAGGCCCACTCAGTGAAACCATTCGTTTGTGTACCGAATCTTCAGACCAAGTCTGCAAAACTACAAGCACATTACGTGCTTTAAACTCAGTTTGCTATTGTAAAACAAACATTTTGCAAAACTCTAAACACAGTTCTCTACATTACACACATCATTCAAAACTAACATCTCTTTTGTTTCATTTAGAAAACACTGCAATTTAAATGCCATTTTCGTTTACTGAGTACCTACACCAAATGATCATGTGTGAAAACACTTATACATAAATTGATCACTTAGACATCAAAACTCAGTGTTTTGAGAAAGAAAGAATTTTTTTTGCCCCCTTTTATTTCTGTTTATAGTGTATATATATTATTTATATATATATATATATATATGCACACACATATATGTAAATAGTGTATATGTGTATATATACATATACATACATATATACACACCAACACATACGCACACAAAGCACTTTATAAATAAAGTTGACTTTCTGACTTGGCTTTTATGCATATTAAGTGTATATAAATGTGTATATATATACAGGTCCTTCTCAAAAAATTAGCATATTGTGATAAAGTTCATTATTTTCCATAATGTAATGATAAAAATTAAACTTTCATATATTTTAGATTCATTGCACACCAACTGAAATATTTCAGGTCTTTTATTGTTTTAATACTGATGATTTTGGCATACAGCTCATGAAAACCCAAAATTCCTGTCTCAAAATATTAGCATATCATGAAAAGGGTCTCTAAACGAGCTATTAACCTAATCATCTGAATCAACTAATTAACTCTAAACACCTGCAAAAGATTCCTGAGGCTTTTAAAAACTCCCAGCCTGTTTCATTACTCAAAACCGCAATCATGGGTAAGACTGCCGACCTGACTGCTGTCCAGAAGGCCATCATTGACACCCTCAAGCAAGAGGGTAAGACAGAAAGAAATTTCTGAACAAATAGGCTGTTCCCAGAGTGCTGTATCAAGGCACCTCAGTTGGAAGTCTGTGGGAAGGAAAAAGTGTGGCAAAAAACGCTGCACAACGAAAAGAGGTGACCGGACCCTGAGGAAGATTGTGGAGAAGGACCGATTACAGACCTTGGGGGACCTGCGGAAGCAGTGGACTGAGTCTGGAGTAGAAACATCCAGAGCCACCGTGCACAGGCGTGTGCAGGAAATGGGCTACAGGTGCCGCATTCCCCAAGTCAAGCCACTTTTGAACCAGAAACAGCGGCAGAAGCGCCTGACCTGGGCTACAGAGAAACAGCACTGGACTGTTGCTCAGTTTTGCATGTCATTCGGAAATCAAGGTGCCAGAGTCTGGAGGAAGACTGGGGAGAAGGAAATGCCAAAATGCCTGAAGTCCAGTGTCAAGTACCCACAGTCAGTGATGGTCTGGGGTGCCATGTCAGCTGCTGGTGTTGGTGCACTGTGTTTTATCAAGGGCAGGGTCAATGCAGCTAGCTATCAGGAGATTTTGGAGCACTTCATGATTCCATCTGCTGAAAAGCTTTTTGGAGATGAAGATTTCATTTTTCAGCACGACCTGGCACCTGCTCACAGTGCCAAACCACTGGTAAATGGTTTACTGACCATGGTATTATTGTGCTCAATTGGCCTGCCAGCTCTCCTGACCTGAACCCCATAGAGAATCTGTGGGATATTGTGAAGAGAAAGTTGAGAGATGCAAGACCCAACACTCTGGATGAGCTTAAGGCCGCTATCGAAGCATCCTGGGCCTCCATAACACCTCAGCAGTGCCACAGGCTGATTGCCTCCATGCCACGCCGCATTGAAGCAGTCATTTCTGCAAAAGGATTCCCGACCAAGTATTGACTATTGAGTGCATAACTGAACATAATTATTTGAAGGTTGACTTTTTTTTTTTGTATTAAAAACACTTCTTTAATTGGTCGGATGAAATATTCTAATTTTTTGAGACAGGAATTTTGGGTTTTCATGAGCTGTATGGCAAAATCATCAGTATTAAAACAATAAAAGACCTGAAATATTTCAGTTGGTGTGCAATGAATCTAAAATATACGAAAGTTTAATTTTTATCATTACATTATGGAAAATAATGAACTTTATCACAATATGCTAATTTTTTGAGAAGGACCTGTATATATATACTGAATATGCATACAAGCTACAATATAGCTAGACTGTTTCACTGCAGCTTCACAATATAACAAATTCAAAATCTGCTATAAATCAGTTCTAACAAGCCAATAGTGTCATTATTCAGCTTAAGTCACTTCAGTATTGATTCAGTTTAGTTCCATAACTGTGTAAAATTAATCAGTTGTGCATACATACTGTATATACAGTGTATTTGTCCATATGTACACGCGAATGCTATGTACACTCCTCTGCACTCTGAACAAGCAAAAGGCACAAGAGAGTAGTGTTTTACATTTTTCACATCTGTGTGTAGTTTGGCGTATATGTGTCTAATCATTTTATCTTTGTGTGTAGAGTTACTACACAAAAATAGCATTTTTAGAAGAGTTAATATAGTTTTGAATGAAGTGTTTGCTTTTGCAAGATATGTGTGACGTTTTGCATCTTATGTGTAGAGTTTTGAGAAATGGAGCCATAGTTTCATAAAAATGTGTAAGCATTTTTGAAAAACTGAAAAAGCAATATAGCAGGAACTTTAGTGCCAAATGGACAGGAAGTAATAGAAGCTGCTACGTACTTCACTAAGGAGGACTGTTGCAAAGAATCTTTCTTGCTAAAGTTGAGACGCTCCAGACCTGTACATGATTCCTCTCTTTGAAGGACGGCCAGACAGTGGTCCAAGTGTAGCACAGATCTAGTGTATTATCCAAACAAGCAGAGCAAGCAGAGCAAGCAGGAGAGTCTCCTGTCTGTGAGAGTTAGTATATTTTCATGAATTCAGAGTCCTCAGCAGGCCACATTATTAGCAAATGATGAAAAAGTCATACGCTCCTTCTTCCCAACAATGGGCCTTGTGTCTTCATCCAATGTTTGTAATAGAGAGATCATCAGCAGGAGCAAATGACATCAGAGAACTTTGTGTTGTGAGTTAACTATTCTACGATTAGCTGCAAGTGTTTGTAGCCATTGAAGTCCTTTTAAATCGGCGCATCTTCTACAGGAATTGCTACACTGTTCTGTTGTCCTCATCAGAAGCCATTATACTGCTGACAAATCTATGCGGTTGGCAGAGTTGGTGCTCTTGTCCCACGTGTTCATCTTCGTGGGAGTCACACCTCCCTTGTTGCCGTTCATCTGCGAAAGAAAAGCAGATTAATACATGTTTTTTTCTAATACCTTTGTGAGGAAGAACTGTGCCTAATTGTACAGAATGTGTACTTCAAATCTTAAAAGTATATTTAAAAATATATATATTTCCAGATAATATAATATTAACAAATTAACAGGCCACTTGAGTGTGCTTAAAGGGTTAGTTCACCCAAAAATGAAAATTCTGTCAGTAATTACTCACCCTCATGTTGTTCCAAACCCGTAAGACCTTTGTTCATCTTCGGAACACAAATTAAGATATTTTTGATTAAATCTGAGAGCTGGATCACTCCTCCATAGGCTTCTTAAGGGATCAAAGCTGGGCGCCCAAAAGTTATGAAAGACATCGTTAAAATAGTCCGAGTGACTACAGTGGCTCAACCTTAAGTTTATCAAGCGACGAGAATACTTTTTGTGCGCAAAAAACAAACAAAAATAACGACTTTATTCAACTAATCATTTCCTTCTCTGTGGGCCGTGATATTTCACGTAGTGATATTGCGCAAAGCTTCTGTGTTGCACGTCACACGCAGGCTCACTATTGGCCGACGCTGGTCATGTGTGTGATGCGTGACGTACAACCTAGAAGCTTTGCGTAGTTTCAAGGAAATGATTAGTTGAATAAAGTCGTTATTTTTGTTTGTTTTTTTGCGCACAAAAAGTATTCTCGTCGCTTGGTAAACTTAAGGTTGAGCCACTGTAGTCACTCGGACTATTTTAACGATGTCTTTCATAACTTTTGGGCCGGCCAGCTTCGATCCCTTAAGAAGCCTATGGAGGAGTGATCCAGCTCTCAGATTTAATAAAAAATATCTTAATTTGTGTTTCGAAGACGAACGAAAATCTTACAGGGTTGGAACAACATGAGGGTGAGTAATTACTGACAGAATTTTCATTTTTGGGTGAACTAACCCTTAAAGAGAGTACACTTTCATGGTTGTTGTAAAACTTTTTTTTAAAGTGCACTTTGTAATAATGTCAAATTAAACATTTTACTTTAAAGTACATTTTAACCATCTTTTGTCGTGCTTTAAAGAAGTGCGCTTATTTTGATGTGTTGGCTAACATACTAAAGCACATGCAAAGTACTTGATTATCATTTTAACTGTAGTGTTATTCGATATTACATTTGAAAGTTAATTTTTGAAATGTTCTAAATTCCAACATCACAAACATATTTCTATACATGGCATACAAGTTTCAATAGGAATGATATAAAAGTATATTTTAGTCGTTACATTGAGCAGTACACTTTTACCATATTTCAAATAGAAGTAATTATAAAATTACAAAAATGTACTTGAACATAGGACTGAAGAGGGGCGAAAAAGCACTGTTAAGTTCAACATTTAATATATTTAAACTATAATTCATTTTCATTTAACTGTAAACATTTAATTAAGTGCACACTTGAGTATATTCTTTTAAAGTATATTATTTCCATAATAAGTGCTCTTTATGTTGAAGCATGTTAGAGTGTACTTATTTTTTCACAAGGGTAAGTCTAAAATCCCTGGTCATGAACAATACAAAAGTAAAAATGAAAAGAGCTGGAATTACTCACAATGTCTGAGTTGAAAGGTTTGACGTTGATGTTGCGCATTGAGCTGCTGGTTAAAGTCCACACTTTGGTTTTGTGTTTGAAAGCAGCCCTGACCTGTTGAGCAGTAATACGACATGGAATCTGTTAACAAACACCATGCTTTACACTTGGTTTATATATCAAAAAGAGATTGTGATTGAGTTTAAAAGTGTCTCTAAAGAAAGACCAATTCACACTGCGCCGACAGACGGCAACAGATACAGGGTTTTGTCGGATCAGTGTTGGCATCTGTTGGAGCTTGTTTTCGCCGAATGAACATGCTAAATCGGGGCTGGTCGGGTCTGTACTGTAATCTGGTGACTGTCCGCGGTGGTCGGCGTCTGTCGGTGCAGTGCGAATTGACCTTAAAATCATCACCACTAGATGGCGATCACACTTCAACTCCATAAAACAAACTCCATCATTTACACCAGTTCGCTGCGGGAACGCAAGGTATTTTCCCGACATACAGCACAGACGTCAGACACAGCTGCACAAACACGCTCTTACCTCAGAGTTTAACAGACAGTGAAACAGGAATATGAAGAACCCCTTTGAGGAAAAAAAGGAAAACAACAGATAACACTAAATATTGTGAAAGCGCTCCAATTCACATCTGCAAAAGTTCTTACAAGTCAGTCCAGGTCCAAAGTCATTTCAAACATTGTTATGTCTCATATTTTGTTTAAAGCTGACATTGTTTGGCGAACACGCTGTTGACTTTGGAAGCTGTTATCGAAGTGAAAATCAATCAGTTTGAGTAAGACCTGTGGTCTTTAGTGCAGCGCTGTTGTGTTAAACAGTAGTGATTTCTGACCTGTAGTGAGTTAAACACTGCAAACATGTACTGGAAAAGCAGGGAGTGGTCGTTCACTGCCAGAACCCCGAAGATCCATGATATGCCCAGGATGGGCAAGAGTACCGCCACTGCTTTGGTCGTCAGCCTAGAAAGACACACACACACGCACACATACTGTATGAAATAAGCAAATGCAAGATAGCCGATATTACATTCATGATAGCAGATAAACTCACTTCACAGAGTTGGAATCTCCGTGAACCTTATAGTTCTCAGCGCTGATTCTGGATATGATTCGCGTCACAGCTACCAAAATGCCAATGTTCACCTGGATGGCAGAGATTACAACATTACAAATGTTCCTTTCATGCTCACCTACCGTAGTGCATTTTATTTAACAAACCTCATTAACAGCTGCTTACCATTATAACAAACAGAGCAGGGGCTACAAAAGCCCAAATCGCCCCGTTATTCAGAGACAGCCAGCAACTATGGAGAAAGATGAAACAAAATGGACAAATTATATCAAACAAGTAATCTTTTCTCTTCAAACTGGACATCTGTTGACCATGTCATGACCCACAGTGTTATTATGGTAACTTACTTGCCAACTTCTCCATAGCTGTTGAGTGACACGGTCATAGACACCACACAAATGACCAGAGGGCATCCTGAGTAAAAGCATGACCAGTTTTAGAGGGACATTTCAGTAGTAGCATCATTTCAAGCAGTGCCCCCCTGACATGTTATACTTAATCTAAAAGTACTTTAAACAACATTTTTCTAATCCATGTATAATTATTCACACGGTCACACTTTAGATAAGGGTCCAATTCTCATTATTAACTACGGCTTTTGCCTCAATAAACTCCTAATTACTGCTTATTAATAGTTAGCAAGGTAGTTGTTCAGTTTAGGTGTTGGGTAGGATTAAGGGATGTAGAATATGGTCATGCAGAATAAGGCATTAATATGTGATTTATAAGTACTAATAAACAGCCAATATCCTATGCATGCTAATAAGCAACTAGTTAATAGTGAGAATTGGACCCTAAACTAAAGTGTTACCATTCTCACTTTTAATAACTACTTTGTCACACTGCATGATGTTTTTAATGCAAAAATCTAAAAGGAGGTTAAAAGTGGTGAGAAACACAAATATACTGTACGTACTAATAAATTGTTTTTTTGTTAATGAAATGATGAAAACACATTAACACTCAAACATTTTGTTGTTGTTTTTGAAAGAAATGTATAGTTGTATTCAGCAAGGATGCATTAAATTGATCAAAAGCTAATGTTACACTGTTACATACAAAAATGTATTTACATTTTTTTTTCAATATTGATAATAAGGAATGTTTCTTGAGCAGTAAATCAACATATTAGAATGATTTCTGAAGGATCATGTGACACTGAAGACTGGAGTAAAGATGCTGAAAATTCAGCTTTGCATCACAAGAATAAATTTCATTTTAAATTGTAATTATATTTCACAATTTTATTGTATTTCTGACCAAATAAATCCAGATATAAATTGGTGAGCATAAGAGATTTTTTTCAAAAACATTAATATATACACTATAAATATATATTATAAAGAGTATAAAGCTTCTTAGTAGTGTTGCCAAATTCCCCTCTCTCTCACCATATGTTTTTGTTATTCATATATGAATAACGTGCGAAAAGACAAATGTTTAACCTGAAACGTTACTGGAGCTAAAAATACCTTGTTGTAAAACTCAGCATAGAAGTTTTCAGATTATGTCGTAGGAACTAAAATAAGAACTGTTGGACTGTGGCCGGTTGTTTCGTGCCACCATAAATAAAGAGCAGTGTAGCTGTGCCAAAGGCTTTTAGAAAGGGAGTAGACTTCAGTCTAAAGTAATGACTTAAGTCTAACAAAGCCTGTTTTCTTCATCCACATTGAGCCAATCACATGTATCACCAGGGATACAGATAAACATGCCTATTTATTCAACACTTTTTCATATGTAATGATGAAAAACACCTTCAGTTATCATGCTGCCAACTTTGATTTACTTCAAGGCCCATTGTAGCTCTGGCAATGTCATTTTATGTAAAAAAATAAAAGAAAAAAACTGTTCTCAAAAGAGCCACTGAGAAAATAAGATAAAACACATGTTGTCTATTAGCACATCTGCACATTTGAGACCAGCTCAATAAATAACAGTGACGGCATCATTAGCGATGACCCACTGAAGACTCGGCTAAGATTTAATGTCCTTTTATCTACTGACAGCTCAGACGGACTGTGACACACAAATGTCTTCTTTTAATCTCTTTTTTTAACAACACTGCCAAATCAGTCATGGCTGAGGGAGGAGGCTGATCTCTCTCAGTGCTAATGCCTGCCGTGGGACAACCTCATTTGACATTTGGGTTTGTGTATTACACTGAAACGGGTCGTTTAAGGCAAATGAAATAAATCTGATGTTTTTCTTTCTGTAAGTTAGATCAAGCATGTCTGTGTAATGAAGTGTGTAGTTTATATGAATGTGTGTACACAGAGATTAATTCACTAAACAGCACCACTGTATCTGTGGCCTTTTTAGTTCAAAATCTGGCGTCTTATTCACAAATAACCCATAATACAGTTTATTTATGTGCTAAAATCACTATGGCTTTTAACCAGTGACTAACTGTTTATGTTAAGCATGCGCAGCTAGTTCCTCGAAAAATAACAAGTCTGCCGTTCTCAAAACCAGCTCAAACAGGCTAGATAACAGACAGACCTCTCATTACCCAGTTGTACATACACTTATGTGCATTTTTATAAAGAGAAACTTCGCAACTCATACTATAACTCTTTTGGCTCCAGTTTCTAAATTTCTTTGTTTATGTTGAATGTTATCAAATGTTAGTGGTGAATCATGATTAGTTTGTACGCAGATTTCATGCACAAATACTTGAGTATGCACGGTTAGTGAATGAGGCCAAGTGTCTTTTCAGCTCAAACGCCTCGTTTATATGTAAATTCTGCTCATTACAGATGCTTCTAGTTCATAAAACTCAGCTGTACCTGCCTGGTGCAATTACAACTACGCTTTTGCAGGGGGTAAATGGAATTTCTCTTAAAAGATACATTGTGTATTGTAGGGGTGGGAATCTTTGGTCACCTCACGATCCGATCCGATTCCGGGAGTCACGATCCGATTCCAGAACGATTCTTTATCTACCTTCCCCCCCTTATTAATTCATTAGTTTACATAAGTAATTAAGTACTTTTTAAAAAATAATTACAAATTAATTTGTTTTTATTAAAACAGTTGTAGCCTATGTTAAGAATTTTAAACTAATATAACTAATATAACAAATAATAAAGAGGAGCATAGAAAAATATAACAAACAACAAACAAAAAGTGCTTTCAGTAGCCTATAGATTATCTGAACGTTTTCCATTCAAGAACTGTGAGTGATTTTTCTTCATCTTTACTGTTGTTTTTTACTATGACATCATAGACTGCGGGAGATCTATTAAGCTGCATTCACGCACGCATCTCTTTTGAAATAAAAGTAGTAATGCGGTGTGTCCTGTCCATTTAATCGCTTAAGACATAACTGGCTGTGTTTACGTTAATTTTGCACAAGTACATTAAAGCTGCTGTAGGTAACTTTTGAAAAAATGTATTTGCTAAAACTGTCATTATGTCCTGACAGTAGAATATGAGACAGATAATCTGTGTAAAAATCAAGCTCCTCTGGCTCCTCCCAGTGGTCCTATTGCCATTTGCAGAAATACACGCTCCCGGTCAGAAACAACCAATCAGAGCCAGGAGGCATGTCTTAGCACTGTCAATCACGCTCGTGTACGCGCTGATCACACCCCTCTCTTGCACAGCGCGAGCGCCGGAGCGCGAGCCGTCGTTCAAACTCAAGATTGCCGGTGTGCTGCAGCTGTGCTTATGACGGAGAAACAACCTAAACGGCCAATTCTCGAGTGACACCTGCTCATAAAACAAAGAGGTAAAAGGAAAAAGACTGATGACGATAAACAAGCGAAAAAGAAAGAATTACACAGAGCCCATTGACTCGGTGTCAAAACTCTAGCCGCATAACATGTAGATAAAATGTCACGCACTCTGCTAAGCAACAATTGAAACCTGCTAATTCACTGGCTTGTCATGTTGCTGAAATAATGTACTAGCACACCTTATCTAGCATTATATATCGCTAGAATAATTACTTACATACTGTTACGTTAGTTACCGTTATATTAACGTTATCTTACTAGCTATTTATAACTTATAGAAAGAGTGCAACGTTATAAAGTTAGATGTAGGCTATTGCAAAATACATAATGATTTGAGGACCAAGTTTGTAGTCAAAGTATGGGCAGGCCATAGTCAATGTAAAGCATATTGTTGACGTTTAGTCCCTATTAGTGAATGTGCCATATAACTTTTTATCCACCGTCATCGGTGGGCCTGTTTACTAGCCTGCGCGTTCACGACGGGCTCTGTGTCACGGTACGGTTACCAAAAGTGAAGGAGAGGACTCAAGTGCAGCATAAGGGGTATATTTATTAACAAAACACAAAACAAAAACCCACGAGCGGGAAAACATAAAAGATAAAGCATAAAACAGAACCAAACTAGAAAACCAACCTGACCAGGAACAACATGAGCATGACAAGGAAAACCGGGGAAACATAAAGCAAAGATCCGACAAAGACTGCATACAAGGGGAGACTTATAAAGGGAACAAATCAAGAGGGAAACAGGTGGTTGAACTCAAACAATAATCAGGTAACGAGGGGGAGGGATCAGACAATGACATGAGCACATGGCCCAACATAACAAACACCCAAGTGTCACACAGGACAGGACAGACACGTGACACTACCCCCTCCCTACGGAGCGGCTACCAGACGCTCCATCCGGTGGCACGGGAGGGACACACCAGGGGGGCACGGGAGAGACAGGAACATAGGGCGGCCAGGGCGGTGAAGAGCCCTCGGGCGGCCAGGGCGGTGAAGAGCCCTCGGGCGGCCAGGGCGGTGAAGAGCCCTCGGGCGGCCAGGGCGGTGAAGAGCCCTCGGGCGGCCAGGGCGGTGAAGAGCCCTCGGGCGGCCAGGGCGGTGAAGAGCCCTCGGGCGGCCAGGGCGGTGAAGAGCCCTCGGGCGGCCAGGGCGGTGAAGAGCCCTCGGGCGGCCAGGGCGGTGAAGAGCCCTCGGGCGGCCAGGGCGGTGAAGAGCCCTCGGGCGGCCAGGGCGGTGAAGAGCCCTCGGGCGGCCAGGGCGGTGAAGAGCCCTCGGGCGGCCAGGGCGGTGAAGAGCCCTCGGGCGGCCAGGGCGGTGAAGAGCCCTCGGGCGGCCAGGGCGGTGAGGACCCTTCGGGCGGCCAGGGCGGTGAGGACCCCTCGGGCGGCCAGGGCGGTGGAACAGGAGCAGGCACCGGCTCAGGAACTGCAGCAGGCACCGGCTCAGGAACTGCAGCAGGCACCGGCTCAGGAACTGCAGCAGGCACCGGCTCAGGAACTGCAGCAGGCACCGGCTCAGGAACTGCAGCAGGCACCGGCTCAGGAACTGCAGCAGGCACCGGCTCAGGAACTGCAGCAGGCACCGGCTCAGGAACTGCAGCAGGCACCGGCTCAGGAACTGCAGCAGGCACCGGCTCAGGAACTGCAGCAGCAGGCACCGGCTCGGGAGCAGCAGCAGGCACCGGCTCGGGAGCAGCAGCAGGCACCGGCTCGGGAGCAGCAGCAGGCACCGGCTCGGGAGCAGCAGCAGGCACCGGCTCGGGAGCAGCAGCAGGCACCGGCTCGGGAGCAGCAGCAGGCACCGGCTCGGGAGCAGCAGCAGGCACCGGCTCGGGAGCAGCAGCAGGCACCGGCTCGGGAGCAGCAGCAGGCACCGGCTCGGGAGCAGCAGCAGGCACCGGCTCGGGAGCAGCAGCAGACACCGGCTCGGGAGCAGCAGCAGACACCGGCTCGGGAGCAGCAGCAGACACCGGCTCGGGAGCAGCAGCAGACACCGGCTCGGGAGCAGCAGCAGACACCGGCTCGGGAGCAGCAGCAGACACCGGCTCGGGAACAGACACCGGCTCGGGAACAGACACCGGCTCGGGAACAGACACTAGAACAAACACAGTCGCAAAGACAGACACAAACACAGACACAAAAACTGGGTCAGGCTCAGGAACAGGCACTGGCTCTGCCTCCGGCTCTGGAACGAGCACCGGCTCAGGAACGGGCACCGGCTCCGGCTCAGGAACGGGCACTGACTGTTCCACTGGCTCAGCCTCCGGCTCGGAAACGGGCACTGGCTTTGCCTCCGGGTCAGAACCCGCAGACACTGGCTCTGCCTCCGGCTCAGGAACGGCTGAGACTGGCATATCCAATATCCGAGCCAGACGCTCCAGGTAGTCCCCGTTCAGGAAGGCAGAGGAAACAGGGACAGTCTCTCGCTGTGCAGACGGGACGGGGACAGTCTCTCGCTGGGCAGACGGGACGTGAACAGTCTCTCGCTGGGCAGACGGGACGTGAACAGTCTCTCGCTGGGCAGACGGGACGGGAACGGTCTCTCGCTGGGCAGTCGGGACGTGAACAGTCTCTCGCTGGGCAGACGGGACGGGAACGGTCTCTCGCTGGGCAGACGGGACGTGAACAGTCTCTCGCTGGGCAGACGGGACATGAACGGTCTCTCGCTGGGCAGACGGGACGTGAACAGTCTCTCGCTGGGCAGACGGAACGGGAACAGTCACTCGCTGGGCAGACGGGACGTGAACAGTCTCTTGCTGGGCAGACGGGCCTTTCCTCCTTCTCCGTCCGCGACGGCGAGAAGCAGGTCTCGAATTGTCCCCATGGACCGATGAAAATTTGGTTGAGCAAAACGTAGCGATGAAGTAGTCCGGGCAATCCAAATACTCGTCATCCATGTGATGATCAACCAGATTCGCCCAGTAAGACTCCTCGTCCTTCATGCTGCTGAGTCCCTTAGTGGTCGGATCTTTCTGTCACGGTACGGTTACCAAAAGTGAAGGAGAGGACTCAAGTGCAGCATAAGGGGTATATTTATTAACAAAACACAAAACAAAAACCCACGAGCGGGAAAACATAAAAGATAAAGCATAAAACAGAACCAAACTAGAAAACCAACCTGACCAGGAACAACATGAGCATGACAAGGAAAACCGGGGAAACATAAAGCAAAGATCCGACAAAGACTGCATACAAGGGGAGACTTATAAAGGGAACAAATCAAGAGGGAAACAGGTGGTTGAACTCAAACAATAATCAGGTAACGAGGGGGAGGGATCAGACAATGACATGAGCACATGGCCCAACATAACAAACACCCAAGTGTCACACAGGACAGGACAGACACGTGACACTCTGCTGTGGAGGACGAGCTGTGGAGGGAGGGCTGTAGCGCAGCAGAGAGCAAGGGGGTGGGACCTGTAAGTTGTGCTTGTTCAAATTTTCAGGCTAAGTCAACGTTTTCTCAAAACTCCCTACTGCAGCTTTAAACCACTACACGGAGTCGCACAGCCGCATGCGGGAGCAGTCTCACAAACAAAGCGCGCGTCAGCATTTGAAATTGAAAGCAGCCTTCTGTTAGTGAGGTTCATATTTTAAATATATAAGTCCACTGCATTCCAAACCACATAAATGATGACTTCGTAGAGCATTTGTAAGGAAAATACCGACGGGCGAGACACCACACACACTTCAAGTGTAACATCAAAGAAAGCGCGCGTCTCTCACAGCGTATCCTGTGCAATGAAGCCTGTGAATGTCCTTGTAATTCGCTTCAACCTTTCCGAATTTTATGAAAGATTATTTTACGGAAGGTTCGAGTGGTGTATGTGTGTGAGGAATTGGAAGCAAGCAGAATACGGGTGTTTCTAAAGCAAACTCAACGTCATCGCACATCTGGTTAAAAACTAAGCTCAGAATCGATTCTGGAATTCTCAGAATCGATCCAGAATCGTTGGAGAGAGAATCGCGATGCATCGATGGATCGATTTTTTCTCCCACCCCTAGTGTATTGTTTCTAGTCATGACAGTAGTTATTCGTCAACCGATTATCAAATGATTGAGAAGAGTGTTTAATTCAAATGTGTTGTAGAGGCATTTTCAGCACTTTTAAGAGGTGATTCTGGATTACAGTGTAATATGGTGTGCCAATTTTTTTCCGTGATCTGCTGCAGTCTCCACCTGCAAGATGTTGTACTCACCCCATCCGATGGCATAGTAATAAAAGTGTTTGCTGCTCTCCGAGCTGAACACCTTGATCACCATGCTGTAGAGATGCAGGCCTTCCACCAGCATCCAGGCGAACGCACAGAGGAAGAAGAAATGCAGCAACACGGCCATGATCTTACATGGGAGCTGGGATGGCAGAGGACAGTATCATGCACTGTGGCCTTTAGGATCAAGACAAGTGTCTAGACAAAATGCACTGCACAGAAAACTGATCTAATTTGTAAATCATAGCTGATGTAATAGACGTTGTTAAAATAAACACGTGGGCGACAGCATCATTGAGCTAAGCGGGTGTTCAGCCAAGTCCTCAGAGAGAGGAAGGCAGCACAATCAAATTAACTGAGTATCAAATGAATCTGTCCGTAATGCCAGAGGCATGTTAGGAGATTAGTGGAGCAGTCATCGGCTCTTTCCACCTTATTGGATTACTTTATGTAATGACAACATGTTTCTGATAATGATACGATAATCACCATAGACAACAAACACAATTAAACACAATCACATCTTGTAAATAAGACGCTGATGTCATTTGAACATTTCATTAGCATCTTTAACATGTGGAAAATTATTATTCTTTGCAAACTCCCAATTTTGTTTTAGTTATTGTCTTTGCTAATGTAGTGCAGGACTGTGGCATACAGCACACTTCAAAGCAGGGTGTGGAGCAGGATGACTTTAGTATTTAAATCAATATATTATTAAAATAATCAAACTCTAAATCTAAATAATAATTAAAAAAACTTTTTTCTCTCTTACAATAACTATTGTTTTTAATTATACAACGTGATCGCATTACCACCGCGGGATTGTATTATTTTTCGAATAATTCAACAGCCCCTCGCCAATTATTCCTTATTTAAAGAACATACTGTTCTTCAATCTTCTGGAATCACAAAATGAATAATGGTTAATTGATCTAATATATCAATACTACCGCAACTTTGTCATAATTACAGCAGAAATACAGAGTATAATGGGGACCTTCAAGTCAAAAAAGGCTGAGAAACACTGCTTTAAGATGAGTATGCTAGATGGACTCACCGTGCCGGGACTGAAGCGGAAACTGATGAGCAGGAGGACCTGAGCGACTAAAATGGCAAATGCCAAGTTGGCATGAATATGGTAACGCTGGTTACGGATGGTGCTAACAGACCTGTATGCAGAGAAAAACAGTAATGAATTTTAAATAGTGATGGTGGAGAAACACGTAAGGCTTTTAGTGTTAAATTTGATGAAATTACAAGTTATCATAACAAATCTGAAAGGAACTGAGAACTTTTATCACGTAGTAGATACATTTAAATATATATATTTAAATAGAAGATTATAATCATGCATGTTCAAAAAGCAATATGGGTTACTTACGACAACACAGCAAAGGTCACCAGTGTAATTGCCAGGCAGAATATAGAGATAGAGCAGCCAATGTAACTAATAGCGGACAGCGCCACCTGGTGTGCCTTTGAGAGCTGTGGTGGAAACAAATGTGACAGCATTGACATTGAGATTGATTCATTTGGCTGGAAATCTGAAAGTGTAAAACACAGAACCGAAGGGGGTTAAATGAGTTGAAAACCCCAGATGTTACTGCATATAAGAGACACTGAATACCACAGCAACAATCCACTGATTGTAAAGTCATAGGTTACCAATGACCAGCTGTACTTGGATTGACGTTTGCATAATATTCAATGACTTGAAAGTTTCAACATCACTTCATCAGAACAAACAAGCATGAGTCTGACATAAATCCAATCAATCAAATTATTTCTTGGAACTAAATATTTTTCTAACTATTTACAGAAAAGGTAGACCAACGGTTGAGAAAAGATGAACAGTAACAGTCTTGCTTGATCAAATATACATATACAACTTGTAATACACTACCGTTCAAAAGTTTGGGGTCAGGAATATTTCTCTTAAAATTAATACTTTTATTCAGCAAGGATGCATTAAATTGACCAAAAGTGACATTATAAAAGACATTTATAATGCTTATTTAACTAAATATTTCTATTTCAAATAAATGCTGTTCTTCTGAAAAGTATATTCTTCAAAGAATCCTGAAACAAATGTATCATGATTTCCACAAAAATATTTCTCACAACAGCTGTTTTCAACATTGGTATTAATAAGAAAAGCACCAAATCAGCATTTGATTTATGAAAGACCATGTGACACAGGAAACCAGTTACTTTAAATTGTAATAATATCTCACAATATTACTGTTATTGTGTTACTGTATACTGTATTTTTGATCAAATAAATGCAGTGTTGGCAAGCATAAGTGACTTCTTTCAAAATTACCGACCCTCCAAAAACGTGTACGTCATACCACAGTTTGATTTTCTAGAAAATATTACTACAAAAACTAAGACTAAACCAAAATTTAAACTAATTTACTGCATTTTTTTTAAAACTAATTGTATATTCTATACTTCCACAACTGAAGATGTCATATTAACTGCTTCAAACCACTTTAATTTCGAAACTATTGAGCATTGTTTGGTGGCATCACATGACTTGGTCTTGGTACGCACTTCCAACTGATTGGAAACAGAAGGTTCATAAATGTTTAAAAACTACAAAACAGAACTCTATTTTGCCAATCACACTTGAAATAAATAGAGAGTGTAAATGGTTATAAAAACAAATGTGTCACTGTTTTTTAGTGCAAAGAGCCTTAACTCACAGATTTTCATGATACGACCCCTTATAACTGTTGGTAAAGAGTGACTAGATTTATTCCCGAACATCCGTCAGGATATAGACTTGCATTGTTACGGTTCCTCTGACCCAGTGCCAGTAATTGGTGCGTCTGCACATCGGGCCTATTGGCAGTTGTTTCCCCCCATAATTCTATTTCCGTGCGTGGGTTCGATCGTACATTAACTCCGCTTCCTGCCTTGTGATTATCGCAGGCCCAGAATATCGAGGATCTGCAGAGCGGTGGAGAAAGCACGATTTCCTCTAGGCTTGAAGTACTGAGGTGAGCCGCTAATTGAAGCCCCGGCAGAGGCGGGCATTAGCATCAAAGCTCCAGAGGAGATGATTACATGACTGAGCGAGGACAGATTTTCTCAACAAACACATGCAGATGATAGACGCAGAAGAGCCAAGATGCACCTGGGTGCCTCGGTTTGGCTCACGCACAATCGGAGAACAAACCTCGAAACGGCAATCAGCCTTCGTGTGAAGCAACATGTCTCTCATCTTCACAAACATGTCCCTACTTAGTGAGTACATCTTGCTGACAGCATCTTTAGCCTGACTTAAATTCGCTCTTTAGTTCTCTTTAAATAAATCAACAGGACAAGGGTTACCAAAATATCAAGCTGCGCCTGTCGTTCTGTATTTCAAAGGCAGATGCTTACAAGCTTTCTCTGACAGATGACAATCCATTTGTACGCCCAAACTCGGCCCACAGTCCTCGACCCACACAGCCTCTGACAAGCGGCCTCCCCTGAGACACTTTCACACACAACGATGAGTTTCGAATGAACTAGAAACAAAATCCTGCACGTCACCCCTGGAGAAGTGTCTCAACTGTGTCCAAACTGTCTTTTCTATTAAAGCTCTGCTGCTGATTTACAGAGAGTCTCGGCCAAACAAAACCTCAAGCCCTGCATGCTGCTGGCTCTCTGCGGACGAGAAACACAGTCAGCATCGCATTCATCGCAGTGCCTTGGTGTTTTCAAAGATCCCTGATGGGATATGACCTAAATGTTCAATCAAGGTATCTTGATAAATTCCACTAACCTCAGGCTTCGCTGCCAGTTTTGTACTACGTATATGTGCATATTTCTGGAGCTTACATAAGACTTAGGTAGTCAGATATAGATGTCACAGACTGAGCGCCCTCAAATTTCTGGTACTGTCAGCTTGTGCTTATACTGTATCTGTAAAGCAGGATTCAGTTCTTTTGTTTGCATTAAGACCAAATGGCATTCGAAAATTGGAAATAACAGCGGAGATGCTTTCATTTAAAAAAGAGCTGCTCAGACAGAATGTGTTCTTGCATTCAATAGAGATATTAAGCCAGATGGAATGGAGAAAATTCAAAAGTATTGAGTGACATTGAGAGTGCCTCACCTCCAAGGGAACCACTTGCATAAGGATGGCGAAGTTTGTCAGATGGTTGCACAAGCAAATGGAGAAGGACAGGTTTCCATCAGCTCTCACACAACCCTCATTGGACCACACACCCTCCTTAAAGCTGAAACACACACACACACACACACAGGTTTAATTGAGCATTACAGTTGCTGGAGTTATTCATTGTTTATATTGAAACCATACGCATTCACACCCTGGTCCAGCGTTGATGGAATTACCAGAGAGTTATTAATCAAATCTGATCTAAACGAAATCAAAACTAACGTAAGATCCCATTAATCTCAATTAGAGAAAATATTACAGCTTCATCACTCCATTATGGATGCAGTCATTTTTTAAATATCCACATGGGAGAAAGATCGAACAAGCATGGTAAATAGCGAAAGAGAGAAGACAAGGGAGGAGGGGGTCTCACTCCAAATTAAATGATTAAATAATTTCACAATTTTCATGATCCTAAAATTGGCTTCGTTACTTGGCCTTAATTGATTTTTCGGGTATATTTTTTTGGGTATAAGATTGCCTTTTATCAACAACATACTTTCATGATTTCTAAAATAATTGAATGAACTGGAAGAAAGACTGAAAGATTTAGACTGCAAGATCAATTAGAATAATGACAATTCTATTCATGAAATAGTCAAAATGAAAATGTTTAAAAGGATGTGGATGTGCTAAATGTCATAAATGTAACCTGTATAGGTAAAGGATAACAGTGGGATATAAATACAAGACACATATTGATAAATCAAAGCACTTCCTGACAAGCTTTAACAGGAAACGTTGAATGAGACATTAAAATGACAGCGAGAGAGAGAGATAGATGGGTGAGAGAGATTATACAGGAAGGACTGCATAAATATCTCTGGACAGTGAGATTGAGGATGAAAGTTGGGACATCCTTAAAAGTTATAAAAATGTAAACGAGTCTGACATTGCGATCTTAATATTTTTAACAGAAAAAGTATGTAAAAATGCTAGAGTAAAACTAAAACTAAAAATAAGACTTTTATATTAAATGCTGTTAAAATTATGCGTTAAGTATGTTTTCATAAGTTTTTGTCAGTAATAAAATAAAGTTTATAATTTACAGTAAAAAAACAGCAATTGGACATTCTCAGAAGTCTATGCGTCACACCATAACATTTGATTTCATATTTCATTGAAATCAAATGTTGGTTATTATGGTGGTAATCAGTTTATATTTTAAAGTACACAGCAGATTTTAATAGTTAGTTTGTATAGTAACACCATACCGGATAGGAAAAACATGACAATGAACTATAAAATATACACGCACTAAAAATGTCTGTCACTATATTTTATTTTCCCCCCCATAAATGTATACATTTCCCCTGGATTTATTCTTCCAGGGCTTTAAGGCCAATATTGAATATTTGGTTACATTCTTGCGAATTACAAACTAATCATTGTGAAATATGAAACATTAGTGTGCATAAAGAAGCGCTTGAAGATGCGAGACCCACCTGTAGTCCAGGAAAGCGCAGTACAGGAACACTTTATTGCTTTGGTTTAAGGCCAGGAGCTGCTGTTCTGTATTCTGAAAGACAGGAAACCAGAACAATTAAGAGTGAAACATCACAGCTGATATGTCCAATCACAGTAGAGTCCTTCTTAAGGTGCGGTTACATTGGCATGTACTGTATATAAAAGTCCATTTGTCAGTAGCGTAGAGATGTATGAAACACTGCTCACACAGAAGTCACTTTCAAACCAAGCAGCTTTCTGTTGGTAAGCGCAGTACATTTATTTATTCATTTAGCTGACACTTTTATCCAAAGCGACTTACAATTGCTATATATGTCAGAGGTCACACGCCTCTGGAGCAACTGGGGGTTAAGTGTCTTGCTCAGGGACACATTGGTGTCTCTGCACATTGGTGTCTCTGTCTCACAGTGGATTCGAACCCAGGACTCTCACACCAAAGGCAGGTGTCTTATCCACTGCGCCATCACCACCCAGTAAAACTGATCGTGCAAATTCCTGATAGAAAGACTAGATTTAGACTTTAGTGTCATTCAGTCCAAAAGGTTCACTCCATCACACCAGAAGTTTGAGGCAAGTGTTGCAGCATCAGTGGTGATCAACGTACAACCACAGTCTCTCAACACTGAGGGCCAGATGTACGTACATTTGCGAATGCAGCGTTAATAGCACCATGGCCAAGACGCAGAAAGCGCTTGATGTGAAACCACAGTGTGTGTGTTATGTACCAAACCTGCAGTTCATCAGGTAATCAGCGCCTGTCCCCACCCACTATACTGCAAATTGCGCGTATTTAAACGTGCAATTGAATGGGTCTCCTCTTCTCACTGCTGATGCTATGACTGTTTGAAATGATCCTGATGCCAATAATTGTAATGTAGCGAGGAGTTTAACAACTGCTGGACTGGAATGTGAACGCTGAGTCGGAGATTCGATGGCATCTTTGATTTCTTCCAGTAACTGTAATATTGCGTAGCTGCTTAATGTGTAACGCTTAAAACAATCCACAGAAGCAGCATTCCTAGATGCGGGTAGTGTGTTCCAACTTACAACAAGGCTGATACAAAGAGAGAGAGCCAGCAGAACGGAGAGAGCGAGCGGGAATGGATGGAGTAACCAAATCAAATCACTAATCAAATCACAAATTAATGATTTCGTTTTCACTCAACTGAAAAAGTGTGATTCTTGCGGCAAAAGTTTTTTCAGCTCGTCTCCTTAGCCTATGTCTTCGTCTTGCTCGGATTACAGCTGCCATTTCACCAGGAGGCATATGCCAGGACAACACATTCTCATCCCAAGGCGTCATCTAACTGACACTTTTGACCATGCGTCAACATGCCGACGCACATGATACCCCTTAAGCGTCAATATGAGACGCTCATCCTCTGGCGTCATCTAACTGACGCTTTTGACCATGCGTCTAAATCCGACGCACATGGCACCCTTTAGCGTCAGTTAGATGACGCTTCCGTTATGGGTAGGTTTAGGTCTGGGGTAGAGTTAGGGTTAGACCACTAGGAGGCGCGTCTCATATTGACGCTTAAGGGGTACCATGTGCGTCGGCATGTTGACGCATGGTCAAAAGCGTCAGTTAGATGACGCCTTGGGATGAGAACGGGCTGGCCAGGAAACCCGCTTCCTAAGTTACACCTGCTTTTAAGAGGCGGAGAATTTTCAGCGCAAAATAGAGGTGCGGTTTCACCGACTTTTTCTGTACATAATGCGGAATACATAATTAGGCGCAGTTTACGCTTCCCCTCCCATCTCTTTATGTGACACTCCCATTTTCCCCTTGACCATGCCATGATGCATATGCATGACACGAAAAGCGCATTTTGCCATTTTCAGTTCCCAAGACAGGATGTCTGCACTTTCAGCGTCCCGTTCCTACATACCTCGCCATGGTTTTATGCGCACTTTGCGAAACAAATACGCCTGAAGTGGGCGCAAAATCATTAGTAAATCTGGCCCTGAGAGATTAGAGGCCAATATTGCTAAATATATCAATGGGCGACATTTCAAAACGTGCACACGTACATGCACATTGCTTTCAAATAAATACATTCAGAAATAAGAACGCTTGCATCTCTTCTCAATAGTCAGTCTCACAGAATATCCATGACTGCATGAAGGACACTATAAGCAATCAGGACGGAGTAAAGAACAGACCCAAATTCCATACAGGAATGGAAAAGAACTGGTATAGAGGATGAAGGATGTTCGTAAATGACCCAGAAACTAACTCTATATCAAACAGTCAAAGTGGTGATCATTTAAGAGAGGAAATGATTGAGAGAATTAGAAGGACATTCAAAATGTGATCCAGTTGTGGCATAGTTTGACATCACAGAAATAAAGATATCATTATTAGTGCGGGTAAGTGTTGAGGAACACTCAGGGTGACAAGTTAAACGATAGCTGATGCTTTCCATTACTGATAAGACTCTTAACACAGTCACAACAAATTATTTGGTCAAAACAAACAGTTTATAGCATTTCTCAAACCTCCCTTGTCCGCACATGGCTTTGAAGTGAGGATAACGGAGCTCGTTTATTAGTTTATAAAAGAGGGTTTAACTAATAAAATGGTGGTTTAAATGAAAGTGGCAGAGTTTTTGTTGTGCTGTTGCCTGAAGGGCAACACAACGTATCATTAACATCTACAAGAAAAGAGCAGTATGACTGAGTGATTGCATGGGTGTTGGGAGACACAAAGCTGGTGCTTCATTTTTGTTTTTTTAAGGGGCCGTTTACATGACACTAAAAACTTAAACTTTTGAAAACAGGTTTCAAAATGCAAGCTTTTGAAAACTGTGACGTCATGCAACATGTTCAGTCTTTAGGCGCGTAGTGTTTCTTTACAAAGTGACATCGCCAACTACTGGCCTGGCATGAATAATACAGCGTTTCTAGAAGTTTTAACGGATCCATGAGAACGGGGATCGTTTTGACAATGGTGTCTCTATGTGAAAAATCCAACAACAAAAAAAACCTTTCCCTTTTTAGAACATTGTTGTTACCCTAATTTTGCATTACTTGTATGGCTGGAATAAATGGCGTAAAGAATGTCAGTAAGTTTCAGAGAGGAAAATGTGTGTGATTGAAATGTAATTAAATTTGCACACGCTCCACTATTTTTTTGTTAAGGGAAACAGATCATAACTAAAGTCAACTATGTTTTTTAAGATGTTTTAAAATGTTATCAACCTTAATAATTTTTTTATTGGTCTGTTATTTGGAGAAATGTAAGTTATAAAGATACGAGTAAAATATTGTTAAAATTATGTTTTAATTTTTGTAGGCTTTTTGTAAGTGAAAATACAAGCCTAAAATACCTTTTAATTTACAGCAGAGAAAAAAAAACAGTAAATGGATGCTCACAGAAGCTCCTCCATGACACAATCAAAATTTGATTTGATATTTTACTTAATATAAAAGTATTTAAATAGAATATTTTTATTTTGTTGATGTATTATTATGGTGGTTATCAGTATATGTTAAAGGACAATAGGTTGCTATACTAACATCATATCAAAGTTTTTTTCACATTTACCACTATTTTCTTTTCTGTACAGCCATTTGTGGACCAGAATTTTTTTTTTATTCCAAATAATTATAGTGGTATCTATTTGAGATAACCCTGTTCCTAAATTACATGCAAAAAAAAAAAAAAAAAAACCCTGTGATTTACGTGTCCAGCAGGTTGCCTTTTTCTAGTTCAAGTGGGTGGTTTTGGGTCAGATTACAAAATGCTGCAATCCAAAAGTCTAGCTAAACTAGATTAGATAGAAAGTCTGAACCATACTGACAGTGACAAGAGAGGTGCGGGTATGTGTGTGGTTCTTTGCGCTGCACAAAGTTTTCACTTTCATTCGTTTCAGTTTCTATTGTCATACTCTCTCTCTCGGTCAAAATCTCAGTACTAAAATAAGAAGGTAATTTTTACAGCTCCATCAGTTAGTCTCTCTCTCTCCAGTCAAATGAACACAGATGGGGTTGGCTTGGTGTTTGCGGCTCCCCCCTGCCCTGCAGCGCTCGGCACTTGCCAGAGAGGCGTGAAAGCACTCCAACACTTTATTAACAACAAAGGACTTGCAAAAGAGCACACAGTATTGGAGGAGCTCCCTTTCTAATGTATCCAAAGACACAGAGAGAATGAAATTACACTTAAAATGCACCAAAAAAAACGCAGGTTTGTGATTAAGTAGAGGCTTTTCATGAGAAACGAGCCACAAGCTTGTATAGGTTTGGACTGAGTCCCTGAGTTATAACTTTTATAGCCACAAAAAAATTGTAGTTATAAAAATCATCGCAGGGGTTAAACGTTGGCTAGATGTTACGTAACCTTTGATTTTGGGGGGTGCCAGGGGTATTTGGCAGCTGCTATGACATCATTCTCACCAGCCTATCAGATGACAGCAGGTTGTGTAATCACACATCAGGTCTATTCAGAGATCCTGAGTGGCATGTGTTCATAATTAAGCAGAAAACACACATCTCTGTCATGCTGATGGAATGGTTTACACAGTCACCTCTGCCAACTGCTGCTTCAGTCTCTCTTCTGATTGGACGACATGTTTAATTCCAAGCATATGCAAGCCTCTGTAGTGTCGTTCAGAGGAATGTGGAGAATGACAATAACGAGAATATGGATCAACATTCTGGTTCAAATTGACGGTCCTGGATGACGACCAAGGATAATAAGGCCTGTAAGCTGTGTTGAGCCCTGCGGATTTGATTTAATGTGGTTAAAATTTTACCAAATCACCAAAAGTCACAACAATTGAATAAAACGTTTCTTATTCAGCCTGACTCTCATCTCTGCTGTCAAAATATGAAACGTCTTCCACCAGATTGTGCCAGAGGTTAATATAAAACAAACTTGCAGCTTTGCTCTATTTGGGTCTTTTTCAAAGTTCCCCTGAAAGCTTCACGTGGGTGCCAAACTTCCTCACACTTCACACCCGGGTGAGTGATCTCCCTCAGTATCACCGGTTGCTTATGTATATAAACCAGAATATGTAAATATAGTTTAACATAATAAAAGGATTAAAA